TTGATGTCTGGACTGAAGCTTTCTCAGAAAGTCAGGTGTGCTTCAAAACATCACAACTCAACAGCAACGGAGTGGGCAAACATTTGCTCAGGCAGATTATTTCCTAAACCTATGGTGACATCTAACATCATTACAAATAAAAAGGATCTAATCGAATGGGCAGTCACCCGTTCCCAGTGATGGATACATACACACACAAAAAGGTATTAATTCAGTCAGATTACCCTTTACATCAAAGCTTTTTGAAAAGTCAGAATTCATCTTATATAATAGGTTTTATTAACCATACAGTACATTAGCATTTTGAAAAGCTTAGACCTTGCTAAGCAGTTTTAATGAAAGCAATTATGTAATGTTATCTGCATACAGAAACTCACTACACTCACACAGATAACCTCAAATTCTCCAATAAACAGTCATGTCAAAAGCTACAATTTACTAAAAATACAAAGTGTTCTTTTTTTAAAAAGATAATCAAAAATGTTGCTGTGGCTCACTAAAACCTATTTTCTTATGTGAGTATTTTGCATTCATAAATACACTAAGCTTGGGACAAAGAAAGTACTTCCTAGGAGCTCAAAATGAGACAAATATTCATAATTATGAAATGGCATGCAAACATACAGATTTGTTATTTTTTCTTTCCTATAAAAGGCTTGCAGGCCAGAATAAATTAGCTTTTATAAATGGCAGTTGTTTATAAAATGTGATCTCCCCTCACAATGAAACTGTCACATACAGACCCTTTTATCATCTCACTTTCCCCACAAATGCTGCTTCTGTAAATGTGAATACTCAAATACCCCTCAGCCCCCTGTGACTGATGTAATAATCAAAACACAAGTTACAAAGGGCTTAACCAAAGCTAGATTTGCCAGCTTTCCTTTACAGAAGCACAAGGATGTACAAGGGGAATACAGATATATTAACAAGCTTATCAGGTGAATTCAAAGGATACTTGCATTCTGGAAAGACTCTATGGCTACGGCCCACTCAATGGTTCTATCAAGGCACTGCACAGTCATTACATGTCTAACACTCTCCAAGATGTGCTGAAGAAAATTGTGAGTGTGTTTAAGCTGTTATAAAGCCCTGAGTCAGAACCTTCACGTTTCCCGCAGGCTTAGCTATGGAAATGGCACGCTAAAACCTCTGCAGGTGACAATTTTGCTTTGTCAAGAAAAACAAGTTAGGAAATAGATAAAAAGACAACAGTAGGAATTCCAGCAACTTAGGCAAGAATAATATGTAATGTACATGGCGGCAAATTACAAACTTCTATCGCATGCAACTTATACAGTCAGTAAAAACTCTTCACAATGTATTCAGACACAAAAACTGATGTAGCAAAACAAAACTGAAATGTTCCCCCAACCCTTCCCAAAGGTACGGAACAACTGCAGAAAAATTCAATACTCGGACAGAAAGGAGGTAGCATTACATTGTAGTGATTGTTTTTAAGTGAAAATCAGAGTCTGGCCCGTGCAGCACAAGGAACAGGACAGGCTCTTCTGCTTACAGGTCACTAGTTGGAGAGCAAAAGTCGGTTTCTGACATATAATTTGCAGTACTGTAGAAGACGCTTAGAGGAATCATTAGATCAAAGCAATCTCTTCAAACAGTTATATGAACTGCCATTAATACTGCTAGAATAAGTAGACATACATAAAACTATCTCTAGAAAATAGCTACACAGTAAGTACTTAATCAAATTAGATTTTTAAAATATTGTGTCATATATCTTTAAAATAAGCTACCATAGTCTATGCTGACAAGGCACAAGTACTTATGAAATTCTGCTATATCCTCATTCAGTCCAAGTTAAGAGCATTAGCTTCTAAGGAAACATTCGCATTTACAGATTAACTTTTGCTTACTCTCTTGCTGGCCTATTTTTTCAGTATCCACTTGAGCAAAACGGGATCCCTCCAAACCCGAATGTGCAAGTAGACAGTAAGGCAGCAAATGGGGAGTAGGGCTCAATGGCCCAAATTTGAGAAGTGCTTCAAGCCCTACTGGGGCTTCGTGTCTAGCAGGTGATGTGGAGCAGGGAGGGCAGGTGATGAAGAGCAAAGGAGGAGGAAATAAAACACAGTTCCTAGAAAAGCTCATATTTAGTTAGTCTCTTACATTATCACCTTAATCACTGGAAACCGATGCGACCATCTAAATCTTTCACTAACTTGAAGAAATGAAAAATGTTTTACTGGAACATCTGAGCATACCTCACACCTGAAAAATATATATACTTAGGTGTTTTCTTGATTGTTTCAAGAAGAAAGTGGAGGCATTTCACCTAATTTCATTTCAAAACTTTATCAAATATTAAGGACTCATAAGAAAAAAGGTTGCAATTCTTAAACTTTACTGCATGCTAAAGTGAAATGCCTACTTACTGCTTTTCCTTTTCTCAATTTCCACTGTGATTCCAAATAATGAGATTTACTGTTCTGCTGAAAACTGGTGCACAGTGACTTTTGCAAACCCTGCATACTTACTATGACTGTCCTTGACTTCCAGTCGGAGCTTCTGTTTTTCATCCTCTTGACTGTTTCCACATAAATGTGCCCTCTGTGCACACTGCAGGTGACACTGGACAGAAAACTATGAGCACTACGTTGTTTGAGTTTACTGCCTCCTTCAGCCTCATTAGTTTATTCTAAATCCAAAACCAATGCAGGAATCTAAATACCTACTTCCCAAAGCAATACCGAATTTGCAAACATTTCTCATTAAATCCTTTGAAAGGACAGCACTGAGCAGCCTTCACAAAATCTCTTTCATCTGTTAGTAAGAAGCCTATGTTAACACTTCAAGCACATCTTCTAATGTGCTTAGTTTTTCTAATTGAACTATTTCTCTTCATAACAGGATAGCATCAAGTTAAATCCCTGACACTGGCATATTTTAACTTCAAATTGCACATAACATTGTCCAAGGAGGCTGAGTTTCTGTGTAGTCCCCCACATCTGGTGGGACTGGAGCACAGAAGGCTACAACTGCTCCTGCAGCAATATCTGCAGGCAACATCTGTATTTCCAAAGGACTGTGACGGTGTCCAGGAATTAATAATATTAAAAAGAAATTAACAGTTTCTCTGTTGGAAAGTATGAGCACCTTCTAGACTAAAATCTTTGCCTCTTGCAAATAAGGAGCATCATTCAAGTCCAGTTTCCCACACAGGATGCTTTGTAATACTTTTGCTCAGGTAGCTTAATTAATGTAAGGTTGGATTACTTCCAAGAAATTCTGGGTTATTCAGAATTCTGAGTGTTTCACTGAAAAAGAATTAGGAAAAAGCTGCTATAATGAGGTTCCAATTTTGAGCTGTATTGTCAAGAACTACATCCTGTTTGGTCTTTGTGCTGACTTCATAAAGGTTTCTCCAAAGAATACACAGGACACAATATTCAAAATTGTGTCTACCACACAGTTAGACACCCTGGCTACCACAATTAGAGAAAACTGAGCTACAGACTGGATGTATTATAGAATAAAACTCAAACCAGATGGAACATCTGTCTATTCAAAAACAGGACAGATGACTGTCCTACAGACCGAAGGAAAATTATGAAATGCACAGTAGACTATTCAGTTGCCCAACAAAAGTTGCAGCAGTTGGGCTAGTGACATGCGCATTGGCCAAAACCAAAAATATATAGTAAATACATTATATGCAATCAGAATCTAAATGGAGAAAAGGAAATGCTGGGAAAAAAAAAAAGCCTTACACCAGAAACTTTCCATCTTTCCCTCAAAATACAGGGCCCAAAGAAGAAAGAAAGGTGAAAACTATTTGGTTTGCCCAAAGAGACAGGTACAAAGAATATCTGAAAAGAGATGATGACTAGGATACAAACTCAAAGAGAAGAGCACACTGACTCCAGCTCAAGATTGTGCCCAGTGAAAAACTACTGAAAAGACTGGTGAACATTTGCAATTCTGGATCAAGAGTAAAGACTGCTAGAGCAAGGTATTAAATCAGCCTGTTTCATTAACAGTCACTGTACATACTAGTTTTCCAGAGCAGTGGAGTGATTTCCTGAAATACACTGTCAAGTGTTTGAAGTTTACTAGCAAAAAGTTCCCATACCCTTAAAGTTTACTGGTCACATTCTTCTGAGGCTTTTGCCAAGGTTTGCAAAATTCAAGCAAATCCACACAAACTTAAAAGGCAGATTGATTTTCCCAAGAGAACAGTTTTACCTCTTTATCCCTACCTGGATCTTCCCCTGAACTATCCTTTCTGCCATGTCTGTGACATATCTAATGGGAATTAAATGAGAGATTATTCTTAGCTGCAGGTAAGGCATCTATGTGTAAACTGGAGTCACTTCATTACTGTTGTTGCAAGAACACACCCAAACAAGGTGGGCAAGATGGCAAAGGGCTACACAAAATCTGCACACAGTAAACTGCTGAATCCCCTGAAAACAAACACACTTTGCTATTAGCTACAAGGGAACCTCAAAGCAGCAAACTGCCCTCCATCCCTAAAGCTGAAGTGCACGTTGGTCATCAAAATGTGAATGATTCGCAGTTCCTAAGCAGGGTATTCTCAGAGTCAAGAACACCTGGATGCCCCATTAGGGACAACTGCCTCCCTTCCCCAACCAACTCCATCTCACCTGAGAACAGGGAAGTCTGAGAGCCAGGACATCAACCTGATTTACAATGTTAGCTATTAACGTTACCAGCTAACTTCTGGAGTTAAGACTTTGACTAATAACCAATATGAAATCTTCTCTTTTGCTGTTTGCTTGGAGACAATAAAACTTACTTAGAAGAGGAAAGTAATATATATGTGTGTTAAAGGCCTGATTTTGACATTTAAGTTTTGCAATCTTCCTCACCCATTTTTCTAATTTACAGACCCAGATTTTTTTACATGGACCCACATATATATTTCTTCCCCTAAAACCGACCAAATTCACTCACCATCTGAAATAGAAAACTGACCATTGCTCAAATGTTTTCTTTTCTGATCAAGTTAAAAACCATTCCATACAAAGTTATGTCGCTAGCAGAATTAACAAGTTTACCATTTAAGTTAGCTTGAACCTGTTAGACTAAAGTGCAATTTTAGGAACATCGTATTTTCTAAGTCAAATTCGTCTTTTTACTGGTTTTGGCTTCCTGATTCATCCTTAGCAACAAAGGACACATTAATGTTAGAATTACTTTAACATTACATTTTGAGGTCTGTTCTTGCATGAACAGTATTATATTTATTACTATAATGTGTACACTTCATACTGATTTTGCATTATTTTATATCTTAAGATAATAATTATTGTCAACCATAACTGTCACAGGACATATGAATATTGTCGAAAGAAGCTTAAAACAAACAAAAAACCCTAAATATTTATATCTGATAACTGACAATATTAAAAAAAAATCTACACCACTTGATGTCTGACTGATACGTACGTTGGAAAAAAAAAACATGAACCAAAATAAAATTGTCCCTTTACACTGTAAGGGGAAGAGAACAGAAAAAAAACAGACTGCTTTAAGTTAGCTTTAGGTATCTTTTAAGAGCAAAGTTAAAAGCTAACTGTCCAAATACTGTTCTTTTATTTGGCATGTTCACAGTCTTTAAACAATTACCACGTAGCAAATCTGTGCTCTGGTATTAGAAATGTTTTCATTTGTGACTGCCTTTCAAGCTTGCAGAGATTTAAATTGTCAAAATGTCCTTAGTATTTCAGAAGCTAAGAGGAGACAACAGTTCCATTATTTAATACAAAAGGATCCTTCGCTCAATGGCCTTGCGGCATATGGGGCATTCGCTCATCCGGTCTCCGCAAAGCTGACACGTCCCGTGGCCACAGAGGAAGATCATGTTCTTGAGCCGGTCCAGACAGACAGGACACATGGTCTGCAAGAGACGTGGACAGGGCGCGTGAGCAGTGGCAGTGCTGATACAGTGCAAGACTAGTAATCTACTAAACTACCGAAAAATAGCAAAAAAATATGGCACCCGGAGCGTAACAGATCATTTGCATGGCATAACCAAGACCCTGAGCATATGTGCCATAACCTGAAGACAATTATTTAATTATTTTTTAGCTAACAAGTTTATATTTGAGTTCCTTCATCAGAAGAAAACCGGTGTAGTTTTTCCAAATGTCATCCTTTTGAATGAGGCAATGGATATCACAAAGTCAGTATTACTTACGCATATGATGCTAAGACATTATTCAGCAATATTTCCCTTTTCATCACGTAATCTTTCAGGAAACAAATACAGTTTTATGTATATACAAATAGTTTCATGTCATGCAATACCCAGCTGAATAATTTATTAACTTAACCTATCAACCATTCATGTACCTACCTTTAAACACCAAGTATCAAACGCAAGCATAAATATCACCAATGCTGTACAATCAATATTATATGTAAAAACTCAATGCTGCTATAAAGTATACTCCAGTTTTTGTTTGTAAAATACTCTAGGTTTCCAACCAACAGAACACTTCAAATCTCAAACGAAGAACAAATAAATCTCTGTCTTTTAGTTATAACAGTAGCACAGCAAACTTTTAAAAGCAATTTTAATTGCTGGACATTAAAGTGATAGCCAATGTCCAAGAAAGATCTCCTAAAGCTCTCAAACAGCAATGTTCATTTTGTAGCAAACCACTAAGGAACAATGTCCTTCACCTTTTGTCATACACGTAAACTGCAGGTTTTATAAGGTATGTTCCTTCACCATAAACATATTAAAGCCATACCTTATATTAGAATTTTATAACAAGTTTATCAAACGTTAGTAAATGAACACATAATCAGTGTCAGACTGTCCTACAGCCCAACAGATCCAATCTACGGTGTCCTCAGAAAAGAGGCACTACTCATGTCTAACACTTACGAATGCTGATCTCATGTATGGCATGAAATACTAGCAGGGCTCACATTTTCAAACAAATTCATTTTATCACCATTTTGCACCTGTGATTTGTTTTCATGCTAAAAGTTACAGGGTTATTTCAGCTAGACAGTGTCCATAACAGAAACCATAACCACTATAACCTTTTTATGTAATCAGTAGGTAAAACTTTGTAGGATAGTTAGCTTGGATGAAGACTGCATAAACACACTGATGGTAAAATTGTTTTGAGTTTAAACTCAATGGAATTTGGCCAAATGCCTACTATAATCTGCAGAAATGCATATAATGGGCTATCACACCAAAGCATTTTCTGAAAACTAAAAATTTGCAAGGCTCACCGTCAGCCAGTGCAACCTATTTTGCATTTATACCAACTCTTTATCTCCATATCCCACTGGTACAACTGCAGCAGGCTTCCTCCAGTGACTTACAGTCTTTGAAAATTTAACAAACTATCTTATGAATTTTCCGCTAACACACAGCTGTCCAGTGACACATGCCCAGAACCTAGCTGGATTTACGTGATGCCCCTTAGGGCTGCCAAAGTAAACCCAGATCTTATGTTTGGAGAAAAAGCTTCTATGCCCTTATTCTGTGTTTTTAAATGATTTGCTCTGAAATATACTATTAAAATTATTGAATAAAAAGGGTGTGTTTCTTTCCAAAATGCCACAACATTGTTTGAAAATGAATACACTCATAATGAGACTCAAAAAAATCTGCTCAAGCCATGACACTTCTGATAACTTCATATAAAGAATCACAGAAATACTAACACTTTTTGGATCCCTTCTTCAACTGGATGCAGTACGAGCAAACAGCCCACATTTCCCCTGGTTAATATAAACAGAAAACATTTTGAATGTTTTATTTGCTATATTTCTTGATATGATTGCTTTTAAACATTGATTGCTATGCAGTTCTATTCTGATAAGGATTTTTTGACAATGATTTTTTTGTTCAGCACTTTTCCAGAAGGATGTAAGCCCAATTGTTTGAGTTTCATCTACCTGTTAAGAAATATTTATTACTTAGCTTTTAGTTTCCATGCACTTTTACAGTGGAAGTTACTTCTTTCTATGTTTTACACCCAATTTTGCTAAAGCAGCATGAACAGCAAGTTGTATTTTCACCGTACTGTTAATTTCCTACAGTGTTCTCTGCCTAAAAACCACACCTTGGATTTCTTATCCTTTATCTGTATGAATCATTTGACTCTCATTTTTGAAGGGAAATGGTACAAAAAAGCACTATATCTGTTAAATTTTAGAATTATTTCTACAGATAAGTTAAAAATTTGAAAAAGTTCTTGCAAAAGATTCTCATCAGATGTGTAATTATAACTGGGCTTGATGTTTCAAAAAATATATTGATTTTATTACCAGCAAGATATTTCAAAATGCTTGAAATACCAGTCCATTATTACTAAAAACATTTTCTCCAACAATATACAGGTGCACCGTGACAAAATAAATTTACTTTCAAGCAGAAAGAAAATGATGCAGGTATGGTGAAGGAACACAGATAAAGACATCAGACAGAGGATGGTGAGTATGTATGAAATGAGGTGAAGGTTTTGCAATTACAGTCAAAAGGGTTCACAATCAGGGAATCCCTGAAGAATGGTGTGGTCATCAGATGTGGGAGATTCTGCTGACATCAGGCATCACTTCTGCTTGGCACCAGAAATGGTTTTAAAAGCTTGCTGCACTAACATATTACATTATCACTGAAGGTATGAGTTGAAACATAGGGTTATACCTGCTGAAAGAGAACAAATGATTTTTAAGTAGAAAAATACTAATCTAACTTGAAAAGTGAACTGTCAATGCACAAACCAAAGAACATTTGATTAAAAGGGAACTTTGTGCATAACTTTAAGAATAAATTTAAAGACACAAAGGAACAGTTTTCAATGTTTTAATCAAATCCAACTTGCCACTTATTAACCTTCTCCCAAGTACTAATAAGTAGAAAGACACTGAGCAAAAAGTCTCAATATAAAATGCACTCAAGAACGATCAGAACCTCTTTTCAATCAAACAGGTGTGGAATAGCCTTCAATCCCTAAATAATTTCATTATTAAACCTTATTTTACACCGCAAATCTCAAAAACATTACAAATAGAAAATGACAATTGTAAAATGAATTAGCTCTCCTCTTGCATCCCAAAACATTGAGAGTATTGGCAGATCAACACTAAACTCAGATTTTTCATAAATTTATAAAATCATTAGAAATATTTTAAGACATCAGTAGAACACAGACTACTTGGATTTAAATAATCATTTGCATGTTTTCCATGTATCATTCACCCAGAAGCACTCAGCTTGTCAACAGATAAGGCTACTCTTCTCACCCAGGGGAACAGATTCTAAACAGCAGTTTTAAGAAATCATAAATATCTAGTAACTCCAGTTACTATCAGTGAGAAAGATGAGTATTTTTCAAGTAACAATTTTTAATTGTCATGTCCTATTACAGACACAAACTAGGCAGCAATCTGCTTTGAACCAGATTTTTGAATTTCTATTAGTACTGAACTTTTGGCCAACTCTCTGTATGAAAGTAGCAGCTTTTCACAGACATGCCTCTGCCTTGATGGCAGATCAGCTCTCAAGTTTCATATAAATAAAATTTATCTCTAATTTTACAGATATGTGTCTGTCATATCACCTAAAACAGGTGATCTGAATAATTCAGTCTTAACTTGCATGCACGTGCACTGCAGAGAGCAGCAAGTGTCAGGATTAGATGTGATGCTGCTGTCACTGAAGCACTGCAGACTGCTTTAAGCCTACAAGAGGTAGAGACAGCTATGAAGAAAGTTTCATTCTCTCCTGTATTTATAAAAAACTTTTCTGACTATATTATACATAGGGAAATCAAAGAGCACATTATCAAGGTTCTATTAGAAGAGGGTAGGTTCATAAAGTATCAGATGTGCCAGATTCTTTACTGCTGAAAGGTCTCAAAAGCAAATTTTTATTTGTTCAGTAGAAAAAGCAATGACAAAATTTAGCAGTTTGTCATGGGAAAGTCCTACAGGTAGGCAGCTATTTAAGCCATTGGCAGTGAACTGTATTTGCAGTCACAACAAATCTAAACAGATGACTGTCAGCTATCTGAAACATTTTTTATTTTATTAAGGTCCTAAATTGCATGTAAAATTAATGAGTTAAAAATAAAATCCATAGTCAGCTTCAATAGACTTCCTCCTGCAAGCACTATGCATAATTGTAACAGACAAACCTTTTATTTATGTTCCAAAAACATTCAGATTACACACACAGTCCTTCATACCCAATGGGTTTCATTTGGCAACCACAGAGTTGTTAGGAGGACTGCACAACTTGGAGACTGGAAACCACAGCTAAGCAGCAGCTCATGTTCAAGACAGTTCACAAACTGACAAGGAAAGATTCAGGAACACCAACTCTGGCCAATACCCACTTTTATTAGTGCTCTGTGAAAACAGCTTCTGCCAGGTCAGCTAAACAGGCAGAGAATGTTTATTATGTGGGCTCAGCTTCCCTTTTTTTAATTACATCAACACTAACATTCTAATAAATGGATTAACAATCAGAGACTTCTGTTTATTATTTTTGTTTTGACACAAATGATTGGGTTTTTTTTTTAACAAATTTTAAGAACTGAAGCATTTCAACATGCCCTTTCATTTTTAATCACAGAAGATGCACTTTTTCAATTTCAGTGATCCATAAAATATCTGTCACTTTTACCTGTTCTTTGATGTCTTGTAACTGTTGCTGCAGCTTCTGTACATCCGCATTCACATTGGTGTTGTCTTTGTCCTTCTGCAAGACCGGAATGTTTCCGCTTGCTGTAATTATAAACAAAAAAGATACAAGATTATGAATCACCTAATGAAACAAGAATAATCATTATCAGTATACAAAAAAAAAAGGGTTCAAGTATCTGAAGCAATCTTTTTCAAACATATCTGATAAGTTAATTAAATTCACTACAAGCTTACTGCAATTCAGTTCTTAAACTAAAGCACATTTCTGAGTTTAGTGGTAACAGTTTTTGACAAATATTTCCTCAACAATAACACTCAAAATGCCTGTAGCCCCTTAATGCTCTTAGAGCTCTTATTTGTCAGTAAAGTTCCTCTGGTAACATTTTTTTGCACATTCCAAAAATGAAGATAAAGGCTTCCACACTGTGAAAATACTTTTCAGTCACACAGATGACTCTATTTCATGATTAAAGCTGTATGAGGATCATGGAATAAGTTTGTTTGAACTGTTGTACAACTCAGACTGCAAGGTCTGAGTTTTGAGTGAACCAGAAACTAATGGTACTATAGGAAACAAAATTAGAAAGCATTTCAAAGTGCAAATCTCTATCTCTACTGCAATTATTCAAGAGCTAATTTTAAGTATGAATGACAAGGTGACAAGAATGACACCTATTATTCGAATTCAAATAAAATTCAATTAAAAGACTATGTAAGTACAGTTGATATAAGTAATTCGCAAAAATTACTCAGAAAAGTAGAAGATATTTAAGAATTAGACAAAGTAGGAAATGAATGAAAATTACTTGTTCAGCTCTATTCCATATGCAGAATATTTATGATTTCTTTTTTAGTCAGGGAGTTCCAGAAGTTAAATAAATAATTTTGCAGTTATTGGCAATCTTCAGTTTTTGATTCACATGACACTAAGTGGCCCTGAAGTCATTTATCTCCCAGTTTCTCCTTTGGAGTGTGGCAGGAGTCCTTTAGTGCCATGGTTGGTGTGACCAGAGCATTTGCTGCCGTGTACAGAGCAAGTAGCACACACAGCAAATGGAAACCAGGCTTAACACTTTTCCATTACGCTCTTCTTCAAAAAGAGATGAGATTTAGGTTGTTTCAAAGAATGAGAAGAAGTTGAAATACGTTGGTGGGGGGAAGGATAAGGAGTACAGGTTTTGAAGTCACTCACAAATGTCATCAGTGGTATCTTCTGTACCTTTCCCTCCACAGCACATTATGAAAGGCACTCTCCGCTCCACCACGGCCCGGCACTGCACGCACTTCTTCATCAAGCTTGCACAATCTGGAAAAACAGAGAAGGAAATTGAATCCGAATCCAGCTGTTCTACTTTTTCCCTCTTTCCTATCCATGAGCTTTTGCTTATTCTTTTCACAATAATTATATAGGTAAGCCATAATAATTGCTTAGAATATAAAACAGCTACTTATGCTTATTCCAAATGACCCCTACAAACAGTGCCCTGCTTTGGTTTCACAGTACCCCTCTTCCGTGGTTAATCTGAAGCATGTTAAAAAGCAAAGGTTGCCCTTTCTCCAAAGGAATGTCTATTCCACAAAGACTACAGAAGTTAAAAAACCTAAGTCACATCTGAGAATATCTTGATCACCTGCTTTCTCCTTCATAACCAACAATCTCACTTACTATACTAGTACCAATGGCCAAACAGGTGCTGCTGCTACTTACCCTTAGGAGGGTAAACCCAAAGCCTTTGATATCATCCCAAAAAAAGGACTGAAATTCTTCTACAAAAGGCAAGTGATGGTGTCTCATAGTTGCAGAAGGAGGTTACTGTGAATCAATACAGTCGCTGCTGTGAACTGCACAAATTTGAATACTCTCTCATGATCTTTACTCCGGATGCCCAGAAGATAATGTGGAAAGAAATCATTTACATCACCGAACCTTTCACCTTCCTTGTTACAGCTCAGATTTGGCAATGGCTACTTCATTTCCAAAATCTTTCACTACAGCGATTAATCTTTTTGCTCTCCTCTTTTTGCAAACTAATGAAAAAGCTTCTTTCTCATGACCTTGTAATTACAGAGAGTGAAAGAGCTCGCACTGGGAGAGCTGTGAAGGCAGTGAGTCAAGGCCACATCTCTCAGCCAGAACAGAGACAGAAACTCCATTTCTTTAGGAAGACCAAGTGGCTCCTGAGCAGCAAGTACTGCTCTTCTCTAGGCAAATGACCCTTCCAAAAAGTCCTGAAATTTCTGGTGACAAGATAATTGCTGTATTCTCACTAACAACAATTATTGTCAAAAGAGAAAAATCTGGAGATCTCACGTCCCTTTTTTTTTTCTCCACCAGTTGCTACACAAGATAAAGCAGTATGTACCATAACAGAAGGTCTTTGCATGACATCTCATTTGAAGAAGTTTTTAGAAAATGATTATAGACCTTGTGCAAATTGGTGGATGAAGGAAATTAATGTATTTGTCTTTTTAAAACTTCATTTACCTTCAAGAGCTGTAACAAAACAATAAAATTCTAATGTTTTCGTAAGTTTTAGATACATACAGCAGGTTTTACAGTCTGAGGAAGCCTAATCAAAAATTCCTGATTTGAGTGGAAAAACACCTACCTTCTGAATTTTTGAAGTTCTACAGCTATGTATTTTGTCCTCCAAATATTTCTTTAACAGCGTACCAAATAACACCAAAATTTTGACTACCACAACAAACTTGCAAGCAATCCAGACTTCCAAATTAGACTCGTAACAATCTCTCAGCAATCTGTATTAAAAATATGCTGTTTCAAGATTATTTTGGAAAGAACTTCCTTTCAAGTGTACTTACTCTCACACGCACACATATGACCGCAAGGCTGGAAGAGGACTGCTGCCTTTTTGTCTGAACACACTACACATTCTTCAATCTGTAAAGAACAAATGTATATAAGAACTTTATCTTTTCTACATTAATTTGGCTATTCACGCCAATAGCAAGGCATGTGGACTTCAGGAAGCTATCGACCGTGCAATACTAGTTAATCAAAATATAATTTAAAGGAGCTGTCACACTGGCTTCTACAAATAAACATTTCCTGGCAATGTTTATATGTTTAGTAGAGATTGGCATATAAGAGCAGAAACAGCTAGGATAGCATATGCTTCTGTTTTTTCCTTCTTATCTACCATATATAAACTCATTTATAAAAGCCTTTTATAGTAACCTATTTTAATATTGTGGATTAGGATTTCCCAAAGCCTTTCCTTTGCTAAGATGTACAGACAGAGTGGCCACAGACACCTGATACCTTTTCACTTACACAGGCCTGGACCATCTCTTCCAGTTCACAAAACTGTAGCCCAGGTTCATTCATTTCCTAATCCTGTAGGTAATACTGTAAATTTTTATACAGAAGCATAGTAGTATACAGAAGCACTGAAGACATATTTTGCTCTCTCAGTGTGATTTAGCAAAATAAAGGAAAAGAAGGCTGGGCACAAAGGATAGCTTTCACCTAGGAAAGCGAATTAGGATAGACCAGCTTCTTTGGTTAAGGTCTCCAAATAGGGCACTGGTGTTTTGATACTCTGAAAAAACTTTCTTCTCCACAGAAGTTACATTCATAAGAATGAAACATTGCTCCTTCATAGCACATTAAAATTCATGATTTGAAGAAACGGAAAGTAAAAGATGGAAATAAAACTGAAAAACAATCACATATCAACTAATTAAGTTTATAAGGCAAATCATCTTTCAAAGCAGCCATAATAATGAAAGAACTCAGAAGAACTGAGTATTACTGAAGGAAATTATGCTTCTGGAATAGCTGCAATCTACCTTGACATGCTAAAAAGACATAGGAAAAGATCTCTCTATCTAAATATCATCAAGCAGCTATATTAGGATCTCTACTGATTTGAGCAATAAAGGAGAGAGGCAGAAGGGAGGAAGAGGGGAAGGAAGGGTGAGTGCTAGAACACAAGTATAGGTAAACAGAAAAGATATAGGATACAATATTAATCACATTTGATAAGATCCCTGTAGGACAAAATGCTGCTCAAAATATACTACTCTTTTTTCATGACTTTTTTTTTTCCTCCTTCTTCTTTTTAATGACAGTGAAAACAGAAAGAAACCGGAGAAAGCTTTGGAAATTTTTACCTTTGTCCTAGACTGAACTTGCTCTTTACAGATGAGGCATTTTTTGACTCGTGGTGAGCAGAGGGAGCAGGTGGCAATGTGCCCACATGGGCCAAACAGAGTGTCCCTTTTCATGTCTGAGCACACCATACATTCTTCTAAGGTTTCAGAATCATTGTTGATCATAGATGGACTTCGGGAGCCAACCTGACCGCTACAAAGAAACCTTGCAGTCAGACTTAGGTCAGCATAGTAATGACTTACAGTTCTAAGAACTTTCTTTAAATCATGGTGCAGATCAACTGGTTGCTTATATATGCCCATATTGCCTGTCAATGTAATGACTAAATAAATAAAATACATTCTCTCTCTTGAGTCACCTACTAATAGACACACACTATGTATATTCAGAACTATGCAACTTAACAGATCTTGAGTATGCCTCAAATACTTAGAAAATGGCAGGCTTGTAAAATAACCCCCTACATCCCCAAGTGAATTCACTCTGGATCTTTGTCCTCTGTGGCTGCTGACCCAGCAGAGGGAGCCCGGCTCCAAGACAACCAGTCCATCCCCTACAGCTCTCCCAAGGCCATAAAAGGCGGGGAGAGAGGCAGAACAGCCGGCCACAGCCATCAGTCTGACACGGATGGGAAGGCTAAAGAAAATCACCTCACGCACTAGGGCAGCCTCAAAGCATCTCTCTTCACAGCATTTTGGAAGTACATTCCCGCCTTCCCTACTTGAATTTTTGAGCAGGAATTAACAGTGAGGCTCGTGTAGGCCAAAAATGGGAATGCAATGGGAAGGCCAAGGAGCGAGCTGAAATTCATCATGTAAGGGCCATTCAACAAGTAGTATTTCACCGAAATCACTATAATCCCCAGAGCATCATGTCTGAGACTTCAGGTCAATACTCTCCTCTTTTTCTAGGATCACATAATCAATCTGCTTAGCAAGGATTCAGGGTTCTCCCTCTTCTGGGATGGTTTGGAGGTCTCCCAGTCTCAGGCCACACACTGACACCTTCTCACACTCTCCTCTCCTGTACATGCTCTTTACCTGCTTCTAGGCCCTGATACTGCAACATCCACCATAATCCACATAATTATCAGTATAGTTTATTTACAACCCCTCCTGGGCTGCCTAAGACACAGAGCTGGCACCCTGGAAGGGAGATAGAGCTGGAACTTACCTGTAAAACTTGGCCAAGTTTCAACTTATGTATTTGTAAATAGGATTCAACATACCATAGAACACAAGAAGAAGTTTTTATATATATTTTTAACAATATTCCTATTAAAGTCACTCTGGTTTTTAAGATGTCCGTTCATCTACAGAAAGCAGTTATTTGGATGCTATGTGATCTACTTATATACAAACCTGACTTTTTCTTTGTGGCATTTAGCCAGTGCTTTGCAGAGGCTGGGATCAGGGCAGAGATCAAGAGGAGACTGACCCTTCTTATTCCGAATACTGAGGTCAGCCCCGTTGGCTGCCAGGAAGCAGGCAATAGATGCTGCACTCTTCTTCTCTGCGCCCTGAGTGCCAAGTCCCATTATCAGCTGAAAGAAAACAAATATGTAAGCAACTACAGAGACTTTAGAAAAAGTTAAGAATAGTCAGGCCAGAGGGAAACTACTTGACATGCATGCACACACACACATACACAGAAAAACATAAATCTGCAAGTCAAGGAAAGCATCTCTAGATCTAATGTCAAAACTACCATACAGCTGCTTAATTTTTTAGGAAGCCAAATTCAACATTAAAGATTTAAAATTCTTTGGTTCTGTAAGGAATGGCTCAGCTACTGAAGCCTTCAATCTCCTGTACACCTATGCTCATTTGTGAAGTGGCTGTCCTTCTATATAAATACTTGAAATGTCACTGTCCTGGGGGTGTATGCAGAATACACCTGACCCATACTAACATCGCTGTGTTCAGGCAGAATGCAGCCACCTTCACATCTGAACAGCAAACACAGCTGGGCAAACATAAACGCTCATCTGTATTTAGCAGACAAGCAAATAAAGCACCGGGCCAAGGAAGGATTTCTGTTGCCTTCTCTGCTTGGAGGGATGTAACCTCACACATCTGTCCTCCAGTCCTACCACCCGTTGACAGGTACTAGTGTAGCAAAGAATGTGAGGTTGACAGGGCCAGCTGGAAAGTCCACGAGCAAAGCCCAGATCTACAGCCCAGCGGGTAAAGGATTCACCTGGACTGCAGTATTCTCAGCCTGCTTCCAGGATCCTTTTTGTATTAAGGACAGACTGGATAAAATGCATGAGCAAACACACATATTAGAGAACGGGTGGTAACACTAACGAATTCCTCAGCGAACTACACGAGACTGTGTCCAAATGAACAACTCTGGGACCAGGAGACAACTTCAGTCCTCAGAGTTTAAGCTCTGAATTCATATAGGCAGCAATATCAGTAAAGAAGTGAGATTTCGTACCCATGAAATGCTGCAATGCCCAACTTAGCTGATGCAGTCTGTCCCTGCAGCTGGGCTAAGAGCTGAGAACTGCCAAGCATCACTACTAAAAATTAAGGCCTTTTGGCTACATCAGCCACCACTTTGTCTTTGAAGAAGCAGACATACCATTTTAGACAAAGCAGTATATAGGATAAATTTCAAATATAACAAAAGATTGCCTATCTTTGAGGGACCTATGGAGAAAATAGTTTTCAAAACCTATCTAGTTATCTCCTCCGTCTCTCAGAGATGACCTGTGAAGCCAAAGAAATGCTGTGCTTGGCTTTGTGCCTCGCAACATGTGCATCTCCCCCACCTCCATATCCGTGGCATTATCCTTCTCCTCAGACAGCTCTCCCTGTTTCCTAGGGGGGCAGCTTTTCCAAATGTTTGGCTATGCTGTTAGGGGCTTTTGTATCAGTAATCACTGCTGGAGGGACTAGAAGACTCTTGAAGGTTACTCCATGAGAACACAAATGCTCCCAGTCCTGCACTCTTCCTGGTGATTTTATACAAACAGTAGAGCTGGAAAGATTTAATATTAGTAAAACCAGCAAATTTGATGTGCTTGAGCTAGCCAGTTTATATCAAAGAATTAGACATGGACAAAAAATATTTTGTGGTAAAATTCAAATAATTTATCTGTAACATGGATTACAGCATTGGCTGAAACACAGATCCAAATATTGGTTAACTATGCAAAAACCTTCTCTGCAGGTAAACAAAGTAGGGAAAAAAATCAGTAGTTTAATTAAAATAGAATAGTAAATACTTGTTGATCACCATTTATAAACCTTACAGCATTTTTAGGTTTTTTGAGAAAATTTTTGCAGGGATTTTTTGTTCCTTACATCTATTTTTTTTTAAATAAAAATCTAAACAAAAAGTGTTTTTTTTTTAAATCAAGAATACAGCTCAAATGAAATCAGGAGAAAAAAATGCAAAAATAAAAATACAACTCTACTTTGACCCCTCCAAAAATAAAATCTGAAAAGGGAGTACAAAAAACATTTCTTGTGTTAAGGAAAATCTGAAACATAACACTTTCAGTTTGGATTCAGTTTGGATTCCATCAATGTCAAGGTGGACAACTGAAAAATATACTTTGAAATGCTGAATCTAAGAAATACTTGCATTCAAAATTATATTCCAAATAAAACGCATGCATGCAAATTATTTTGGCCATCTCTCACAGATCCCAATTCAGATCATGGAAACACAACTGAGCTTCAACTTGTATAGTGGATATATGGATTTGAACAAAGGCTTATAATAGTTTTTTTTTGACTGAAATAGAAAAATTGTCACCGAAAGCACATATCAGAAAAAATATTAGGATCCTAGTAACTAATGATTCAGCAAGTCTGCCCATTGTTAAACCGCACACTTTTAATAGGTACAGAAAAATTCTGGTTTTATCTTCTTCAATCCTACTTATCCATGAATTATATTTCTTTATTCTTTTTTTTTCAACCTTTGTAAACAATATTCATACAGCTTTTGGCATGTAAGCATTTCCTTTATTTTATTTTATTTTATTTTATTTTATTTTATTTTATTTTATTTTATTTTATTTTATTTTATTTTATTTTATTCTTAAACAACACTTCAGCCTTTACTACTGTGTGTTTCTTTGAATATTTCCTTACTACACCACAATTTCTGAAATTAATCCCATCAGATAGGCAACAATCCAGACACAAAGATGAAGAGTTCTTAGTTTTAATATAGAAAGTGTTCAGAAGGTTACAGAAACAGCTAGTAGTTTAAAGCTAGGAATAAACACATGCAAGATGTTGAATCTTAGAAAACATAATTTTAGTCTTGTTCTGTACTGCATTACTGCTTATTCCTCTATCCAAAAGTTGCTTTTGATTTTTTTGGTAGTCATACATGTTCACACTGAAAGGCAAAGTTGCAGAAATATTATGGATGAAATAATTCATATTTTTCTTCAAGAAACTTACAAAATATAACAATTAAATCTTTGCATGCACTGCCGCCTGATGTGAATAAGCTTAATCAGCCAAAAACCAGTTCAACAGTACAGAAACTAGAAGAACTAGACTAACAGAGACAAATACGTAGGGGAAGAAAAAGGAATAAATAAATGCATTTTATTTACTGTGTTCTTTGATGGCTCCCAAGCAGTATCTACCTTGCCCACATCTTGCATGTCTTGCAGTTGGCGGAGCTGTGACAACGTGTGGTGCCTCAGGGCTTCATGCAGGGGGGTGTCCCCATCTTTGTCCTGAATATCCAGCTTAGCCCCTGCACGGACTAAGAGCTGAAAGAAAGGGAACCCAATTTAAATTGCAAAATAAAGCAAAACAAAACAACACCCACAGACAACACGCCCCACTTATTCTATAGTTTAGGAAGTCCTAAATGGTCCATTTTGTTACTATTCACAGTTGAGTTGGAATTTAATTTCCAAACTTCAAGTTTAGCCTATAACTGTGACACTTACCTTCTCTTTTTCAAATGTCAATTTTATTCTTGCTGTACTCTGAGGAAACTACTTGCTGAGGGAGAACTGCTGTTTCAGGGGAGTGCTTCTGTTGCCCAAAATTACTAACAGTAAATCACATGGGTCCCATGTGGACAGTAAACACAGGTAGAATGGGCAGAATGAGCGAAACCTCCATTTCCCAGCCTGTCAAAGATCTCTCACATTAAAGCATTCAGATCCTTTCAATCATGTGAGCAAAAACTAGAAGTGCCATTATTTCCACTGGTAAGGTATTACTGCTTATGGCTTTCCCAAGGTAAAAAGAGGAAAAACTATAATCTCACAGGTCTGAAAAGTAGTGAAACATATTAAAACAAGTTCTTTAATTCAGCCACAGTGCGCAAAAGCCACAAGCAAGAGCAGTTATTCATAAAGCAAGAGGAACGAAGAACACTACTTAAGGGTCTCATTACAGGACCTGCAAGAGTGAACAGCAGAACAAATTCTCCCATACTGAAGGAGAAGGGATGCTGGAACCAGCAACAACAAACAGGAAAACTAATGAGTGTGCATGAGTGCACACAGATATATATTATATATAAATGAATACACACAGAGAGAAATTCTTAGCATTCACCCTGCCTACTGACATTCTGTGTCAAGTTTGCAGGTTTCTGAACTAACCACGTAAGCATTCAAAGACTATAGTAAGTTTTTAAACCATTTTTTCCCCCCCAAGTTCACAAAATATCTATACCTTAACAGCCCCCGTGAGCTCGAGCAAAGTACCACTCCACAAAAGGCTTGTTCTGAGCCAGATGCTTACCCTCACTATTTGAGTGTGCTGTCGTTCAACAGCAAGGTGCAGAGCAGTCTGCTGGTTAACGTTCTGGATATCCAGGTTGGCATTGCCCTGAAAGACATCCACAGCTTTAGACTGTTGATCATGCCAACACAGTTCATTGACAGGCAGGGAGGTCACCGGGAGTGCTGAATACGATTCCTATTTTGGAGATTTTAGAGCATATTTTATTAACTGCTTTAATTATTCAATCTATTCCGTTGAATCCAAACAAGTAACCTTGACTTTTAGAGCTTACCGCATGGCCTTCGTTGCTCCACTGCTTCTGCACTGCAGTTACAGGCTTCAAAAAGCCTGTTATTTTCACACCAGGTGGCTAATCAAGGTGTGACATTTAAAATCTCCTGAGAAGAGGGCCCTACCTGATGCACCAGAAGTTCAGCCACTTCCACGTGGTTATTGAGGGCTGCCAGATGCAAAGCAGTGTAACCATCATCTTTTTTCTCATCAACAATCCATGGTCGTGGTAACTTGGACAGCAGCACACGCATTGCACTGGAATAAACACACAGAGATGGCAGAAAAGCACATATAAAATCATTTGTTGAATGATGACTAGACATTAGCAAAAACAGTAATCATTCTCAGAACAAAAAAGGAGTGACAAAAAATTTTAAAAAATCTTTTTTTTTCCCCAAAAAGTGAAAGTGTAACAAAAATTGTACTGACAGTTATTATACTGGCATAATAATTTAATTCTTCCCAAGCACAGTGAAAATTCTTCCCAACCATTATACTCCTCAAATAGAGTTAGAGAATTACATTTTTTTCAGAGGAGATGCTATTTAGCAGCAATAATGACTTTAAAGAAGTGTTCACACAATTTCTGAAACAGAATACACACGAATATTTCTCCCTGAAAATCTTAATGGCATCCTTTACTTAAGTATTCAATGGACAAGTTCCATTACAGCAGATGCCTTTGGCAATAAGAGCTAAGAGTTTCCATTTCTGAGATAAAATTGGAGTAAAACTTCTTATATGTAGAAAAAAAGGCTGAATTTTGAAATGTACTGGCAGAATAGAAAATTGTCTTAACAAATGGTGGCCGAGTTTACCATACTGTGAAAGGGTGCAATATTCCACTGCGCTTCTGCAGGTCCTACCAAGCAGCCTAGCATAGAAAAGGGATTCATAATGAAATATAAATTCAGGGGTCGGGGAAAGCAATTTCATTCCTATAACTAACTATAAAGCAGACTAAAATCCACCAAGTGCAAAGACTGTTGTGTTAAGGGGTTTAAGGCCACATATCACGCTAGAGAAATGATCTAACACCATGTGCTCCCTCAGAGTGATGCTTCCTGTAGCTCACCCGTCTGTGTGCACACACATTTTGGAAAGGGTAAGCAACCCAACTTAACCCCAAGACTGCCCTACCTGGGTAAATGGCACAGGCAGCTCCTTTCCTAAAGCTCTTGAGAGGCAAGCACAAAACCCAGGAGCTGCTATAAACCTCGTGCCGAGAAACCTCTCGTGTCATCTGATTTTTCCCTTCTCTTGAAGCGACAGGGGATTCGTAGGAGAAAAAGCATCGCTTCAAGAGGATTTTAGGACATGATGCCCCAAAAGATGTAAGATTTTAATATGCTACAAATATAAAATTCATCTGTGATGTTCAGTGATTACATCCTTCTTACTCTCAGTGGCAAGGTAGTTTCTCTCAAGGCACGAGATCTTGCTTCTTCCCACTGCTATTCTATTTTGAAGGACTTCTGACAGCTGCTGCCAAAAGTTTAGCTAAGTGGCTGACAGGGAGCAGTGCTCCCTGAAACAGGCATGCATTATATCAGAAAGCATTATTACAGAATTATATAGCATATCATCATAATTTAATAATATTAGTCAGTGTTACATATATCAATTACACAGAAATTGCAGGATCACAATTCCATACTGAATAATAAGCTATGCTACACCATATACACTATATTTAGGAACGCAGCATTGATGGGTATAAGAACTTTCTTTCATTTTTTGTTTTCACTAAAACAGAACACAAACTATTTTCATTAATGATTTTAAAAAGATTAAGAAACCAGCAAAACTAAGCAGGAACCGTGGGCATTAAATCAGCTCAAGCAAACATCATAAATTGTGGTCCTGCTCTTCAGGTTATTCAGCTAGCAGAGGTTATACGGCTAATCTGCTACCTTCACAGACGATTGATAAAATGCCTAAAAGTCTTATTTACGTCACCCTATGCTACTCACAAGAATTGTTGTTATAGTATTACTGATTTTAAAATATTTGTAACCTAAGCTTTGGTATTTATTCTGAAATATTCACCAATCAGCATGAAGCTGCTAATTTTAAGCCTGTTTGAGTTGGATATTACTTTGCATGTTCTCTCGTCTGCAGTTGTCAAGTTGGGATAATAGAAAAACTGCAGAGAATATTTTGGAGGAAGTGTGTCTGCAAGGCTTTGAAGGGGATGAGGGAACTCGCTGTCTTCCATGGAAAATAAACACCTCAGGGAAGGGGATGAGGAGAAAGCAGATGAGTGTATAGGCGTCGGGGGTCGAGGCATTTGGCACTTCCTCAGGCCCATCTGTTGGAGCTTTAATGACTTAAAAACCCCACCATAATTCACATTTTCTGACGGGGCCATATTCTGGGCAAGGCAGCCCCTGTGTAATACCTTAGCCCAGGCCTCTTACATATACAACTTATATATGTAACATATAGATATATAAAAAACTCATATATATATATATAACTGATATATATATAACTTTATAACCAAGTTAAAAGTGATTTGGTGCAAGGAGCAGCCATTTTCATTGTTTCTCATTTAAGATATAGAAGAATGATAGTAAATTTCTAGTGCTGATACTGATACTTTAAATGAGCCACGCTACACAACTGATCATTCCATTTTAATTAATGTTTTCAGAGAGTCAGGAACCATGACTTTGCACATATCTGACAAGCTTAAATCCTGAATAATACCAGAATGTGCATTAAACAGCATAAATTTTATATTTGCAGGATAAAATACATCACAACTCCGAGTATACTAACTCTTTTTTTAGAGTTCCCATTATCAATATGAGAAAAGAAAAGCATTTATTATGCATTATTGACCTACATATAAAAAACTGTTTTCTTATACAGCATTTTACTTAGTTTTTAAATCGATGCTTATCAGCAGTACCTTAGAATGGTGCACACAGGAAGGGGATTACTTCAAAAACCAACAAGATAAAATATTACCATAGCCTAGCTGTACAGAAAAGATTCCAGATTTCACATTAACTGCTGCTACCACCCTGTTTCAAGTAACAAAAGAGAAGAAAAGAAGTGCAAGAGAAGATTTTCTGCTACCAATTACTCAACTCAAACCACCGCAGAAAGGCACGGTCCCACACAGACCCGCTTTTCCCTGTACTCCCAGTTCCACAGCGCTGCGGTGGCTCAGTCAGGTGCGAGTTGCACAATCTGCCAAGCTTTTCCTTTGGGCAGCCTCGTTTCCAGCGAGATCAGTGAGATACCTTTACGGGATAAAGTGGATTGGTAGGAATAAGGAAGCCATGAAGCGAGGCTGGGAAACGGGGTGCACTGCCCCTTGCAGCAGCAGTGCTGGGCTGGCCGGTGAGAGAACCCAATCAATCTCCAGAGGTTGGAGCCACACACTGCTCTTTGTGCTCCAGGCTTCCTCACTCCCCTGTCATTCTCCTCTCTCAAGTTAGCTTTACTTATGATATCATAATATATTTAACTTATTTGCAACCCACCCCATACCTTCCCCTTAGCTCCGGCCTGCTCTGCACAACTAAACCTTTTCAAGAGTTTGAGGACATGCCAGGAACCAGATTAAGAGACAGAAAACACACTTTCATTGTGGTTTTCTTTTAGGGTCATAGTAAGACAACTACACACCATACTACCAATTATATTTAAAAAAAATAAATAAAAGCAGATGAAAAGTAGCCAATTGGGCTGGCTGGACGTGTTTCTCACACAGAAGAGCACTCCGATCCTCTTCACCCCGCAGCCAAGCGGACGCTCGCAGCAACGCGCTGCAACAGCGACCCGGGAGCCGGACGCGACTATTTTTGGCAGGGATATCGATTGCCCCAAGCGCGGGCCGAGCCGCGAGCTCCAGCGGGCCGGTTCCCTGGCGCGGCTCCCACCGGCATCCCGTGCGGGGCGGCGCTCCCGCCGCAGGAGCCAAGGTGCAAAAGCCCCCGAGGAGCCAGCGACGTGGAGCCGCGGGGCACCTCAGAGCGCCGCTCCGCAGCGCGGGCGGACAGAAACAGGGGCTGCCTGCGGCGCTCCTTACTCTTCACTCCGACAGCGCAGGGATTCGGAAGCAGGAGGCCTCGCTCTTTTTATTTCTAAGTATTTTTGAGTAGCTCTAGGTGTTTGAAAAATGGCCTGTAATATATGTGATAAAAGTCGCTAAAGGAACAGCCAGGTGTACGTTTACCTACACTTCACAAGAACATACTCTAGTTTAGAAATAGTAGAATGATTTTGTTTTCAACATACAATTGGAAAATTGAAGGGAAACAAAGTAATGCAACTTTTACTGGAAAGATAAGCTCCAGCAGAAGGTATGGAAGTGTCAGCTACAGACCAGGGGATAAAGCCAACCCAAAAAGAGGGGGAAGAAAGAAAGCAACCAGTTGAGACACAGGGCTGCTCACAACTTGGCAATTCACTCTCTGCCTTGCAGTGCTTACTTAACTAATAACTACTAATCTTCAGATGTAGTGAGATGTAGCAACTGCATCTTCATCTTTTAGATTAAGAAACTCTTCAGAACCTTCAGTATTTTCCTTACTGATCCTTACTCCTCACTGCTCCTGAACAAAGCACACAAAAGTTTTTTTTCTGGGAATATACAGAAAGCTTAGAAATGTACAGGTTCATGACCTTCTGCTGTACTTAGGTGGCTATATTTCAACTACTTTTTGCTCTCCTGAAAAAAACCACTGCATCTGTTCCCAATGATTGTTAAAATCTTCCTTTTCAGATTTTGAATGTGTAACTATTGGCCTTATTAAAGGTCAATTTTGTACATGTGAAATCCAGACTACCAGACAAGTTGTTCACTTGGAGGGTTTTTTAATCTTTTCTCCTAAGTTTCAGTTGTTTCCACAACAGTGGCACCCAACTTAAATTCCCATTTATTTTTTTCAAAAACATTATATATGTGTGCACATACCTGTATTATACGTTTCACACATATGTACATGTTTATACTTCATAGCTAAGCATTATAAACCAAATACTATGGAATTCTATCAACCTGTCAATTAAAGCAAAACCATCCCGTTTTCATACGTCTAACTTAGTTTGAACGTGGCAGCACAGAGGCACCAACGGGCAGAAACTTATCTCGGAGGCAACGTGCTCAGCTCCGAGCTCAAGGGCAGCCGCATGGCAGGGCTGCCCAGGCCTCGGGCTTCTCCGGAGCTCGTTGTCACTCGGGGCCTCCTCCACAGGCCAGGACTCATGCGGAGGCAGCAGCAGGGAATGTTTATTGC